ATCAGAGAAATCTTGCCAAAAAGATCTCAAACAGGCAGTGAGACCTGGGAGGTGAGAACAATATTGGGGGTCAGCAGAATTAAGTCTCCATTCTGCTCCTTACCAGACATGCCCATCTGAGCTAATCATTTAATTTTTACGAAACCAAATTTCTTATCTGTAAAGTTGACAAGTTGGATTAGATGTTCTTCAAGTGGTTTTTTAGCTTAAAGGTACCTTCTGAATTCAACAGGACACTACTTAAACTGGCCTTTAATCTAGGAATGACACAAGTAGATTTTTGGAAGCTAATTTAGCTAGAGAAAGCTGAGAGCTCCGAGGCCAAAGAGATAAAGATAACAGCAGAGCCTTCTCTTAATCCAGTCCTTAAGCAGTTTCTGCAAACTAATATTTGTTGTTCGATGGTTACAAGTTTGCATTTTTTCTACCCAATTTACTGAACTAAATATGCTGTAGTAAAAAGTCCTATTCAAAAACCATCTATTCGCATATATTTTGCAGCTTTGCAGAATTGAATATGTCCACAGATGTCTATTAGCTGGTTAGGATCTTAGGAATCTAGGAGAACCAAGTAGTTATGTGAACTGCTGCTATCAAGTGTACTTTTGAACTTTCTTGGGGATTTTAAGGGATCGTATTGTGAAAATTTGGTTTCCTTTCCTTGAATTTGAAAGAAGCTTTAGCATTTGAGGATGTTTCTTTTGTTTCTCCTTCTAGGTAGGTGATTTTTTTCCAACCAGCTGCTGGTTTATTTAATTTGAAGCTATTTATAAAATTACTTCAATTGCCCCCATGTGATTCTACTCTGGAATAACTAAAAAAATTATTTAAAATGTAATTAATACTAGAAAACAGAAAACCTCATTTTTTTTTGGGAACTATTGTCCTTTCAAGATGACACTGTTTTGTAAATTATAGACTTCCAATAAAGTCTTTGTGCCTTCCTCTTACCACTAAGCAAGCATGGATATTAATTCTTATTGAAAGGAGTATAAAGTCATCTTTTTTTCGAGAAATGGAAAATATTCCCATGAAGCAATATTTTAAGGGGACGATTTTGTTTTGCTCTCTTTATTCCATTTCTTCCAAAAATGGAAGAGAAACGAACTATGGAAACTGTCATTATAGGTCAGCTACCATTGTTAGATTGTTGAGGAAATGATGTTAAACACAATTTTTATCAAATTGTCTTTAGGGCATTTATATGCTTATTTTCTTACTGTGTTGACTTAGGTGACTATAAGAAGTTGTACCAAAGCAACTGATTCTGGAGAATTAAAGCAAATATTTCTAAGAACGTAAGTGGCAAGTTTCAGTCTGAAATCAATTTGGCCACCAACCAATTTTTTAAGGGTACAAATAGGATGTAACAGGCTCAGATGGGACTTGGATAAAGAATATACAATTTTACATTGAAGAAATAGTGTTAATATATTACCCTCAATGCTAGAAATTCCCAAGTTGTGACAATAGTTCAGAGCCTTGTTAAAAGCCAGAGTGGAGGCATGTAGATCCAGCTGGAAAGAGAGGCCTTATGGTCTAACGCAGGACAAATTTTAAAGCCAGGATTAAGGTCTGAGTCCAGCTTTGTAAACTTGAGTACACTTTTTGATCTCTGGGGTTTCAGCCTTGACTTCAGAACAAAATTTCCACCAAGTGCTCTTTCACTGTGAGGAGTAGCTATTAAAGAAGAAAGAGGCCTACCTATTTGCTAGAGTGTTCAAATTGTTTTGATAAAGCTCAAAAGTTATCTCAATGAGCTCTCTCTCCCTAAGCACATTTTCATTTTTATAAAAAAGGTTACATATACTTTGCCTACAAATTTAAAATACTTTTAACCTTCTCTGACTTCATTTAAAATGAAAAGAGCTAAAGTGCCCATTTTAAAAGATGTTAGCTCCCATTCTTGGTTCTTTGCCATATTTTTTTTACAACCTGCTACAATTTTCTGCCCCTTTAAGGCCTCAGGCTACAGCCCTCCTCCACCAAAGGAATGTTAAGAAGTGATAAGGACACTGTGAGCAGCAGTGGCCAGTTTGCAAAGGGATTGCTTATCTTGGCCACTCTTGAACACAAGCTGGGACCCTCTACTGCAAAACTCTGGCATGTTTTTTCCCCCCAAGTTATCCTCCATGCTACTGACAGTGATTTTCCCTAAATAAAAAACTGCTTCAAACCCCTCATTGTCTTTCCACTGCCTTAAAGATGAAGTCCAAATTCTAGAACGCGGTCCACAACGTTTGGTGCTTCGCCACCTCTTCAGCCTTCCATTTGCTGTTCACCCAGTTCTCTATTCCTCTCCTTCTCACACCTTGTGCAGCAGCCTCATAGATAACTTGCAGTTTTTCTGACTTGCAATGATGTCTCAAATTCCAAGGCATTTCTGGTACCACACAGCCTGCCTGGTAAAATCCTAGACTTCTTTCAAGATAAATTGAAAAAATGCTCCGATGAGTTCTTTCTACCTCCTCCAAGTAGAATTGACACTGTCCCCTTTGTGCCCTCACTTCCACCGGCATCCTAAAATACTTATTGTACTTAGGTTAAATAATTGTCCTTCTTACTGAATTGGAATTTCTCTGAAGGGAAAGACCATGAATTATGATGAATTATTTATCATTGTATTCCTAGTACATAGCCCACAGCACATATCCAAAAAATAAAAAAACTTTTGTAACTGATTGAACAAATTAATAAACATCCAAGGCCCCCAGTAAGCATCAAAGTCTAAGGAATGCATATCTGGATTTCTAAACAATCGTAAGATCTTACAACAGCATGTTAAGCACCAGGGACATCAGAGAGCTTTTAGTCTAATTCACGTAGGGGGGCCAGCAAGGACCTCCTAAAGGAAGTGGCATTGAACTGAGACTTGAAAAGCCAGTAGTTAAGCAAAGATAGGGAAGCAAATATTTCGGATAAAGGGAGGAACTGGCACAAAGTTTAGGACATAGAAAATGGTATGGGGCCTTCACAGAGCGAAGAGATAGGCAGAATGGCTGGAACCCCAAGAGGGAAGGGTAGAGTGAAGCACTAAAGATGGGAGGCAAACAGGACTGGACCACTCAAAGAGTCTTGCAGATGTTCACAAAGCAAAGTGCAGCACCCTCCTGTAGAGTGAACACACCTCCCTACCCGAACCCTTGGAATTCTGACTCAGGCAGTCCCTAATGTCCTGCTGAACAGTTAGAAAACTTGGAGGAATATGAGTATTTGTAGTCAAAACTACTGGAAGGTCTCAATTATATGTTTTACCTTTAAATTGATAAATATTTACAGACTAAGTTTTGTGTGATTTTTTTTCGGTTTTTTTCTTCTGTTAGTAAAATATGCTTGCTATTGGAATGTTGAAAATATTTTGTTGCTCTTCCAATAATGCTCATTTTTCCAGATGCTTGCATTCATTCTGCATGTGCTATTTTGTCATTTGGCTTGCTTAATTTATTATGTTCACATTCAGATGCAATATGAAAACCCATTATGTTAGTTTGTTCTCGCATTGCTATGAAGAAATAACTGATGGGATTTAATTAAACTTAAGAACTTCTGCACAGCAAAAGAAACTATCAGAGTGAACTGACAACCAACAAAATGGGAAAAAATTTTTGCAGTCTACCCATCTGACAAAGGGCTAATATCCAGAATCTACAAAGAACTAAAACAAATTTACAAGAAAAAAACAAATAACCCATCAAAATGTGGGCAAAGAATATGAACAAATACTTTTCAAAAGAAGATATTTGTGCAGCCAAGAAACATATAAAAGAAAGCTCATCATCACTGATCGTTAGAGAAATGCAAATTGAAACGACATTGAGATACCATCTCATGCCAATTAGAATGGCAATCATTAAAAAATCTAGAGACAACAGCTGCTGGAGAGAATGTGGAGAAATAGGAACACTTTTACACTGTTGGTGGGAGTGTACATTAGTTCAACCATTGTAGAAGACAGTGTGGTGATTCCTCAAGGACCTAGAAATAGAAATAGGATTTAACCCAGCAATCCCATTACTGAGGATATACCCAAAGGATTATAAATTGTTTTTTTTATAATCCTATAAACACATGCACACACATGTTCATTGCAGCACTGTTTACAATAGCAAAGACTTGGAACCAACCCAAATGCCCATCGATGATAGACTGGATAAAGAAAATGTGGCAGATATACACCATGGAATACTATGCAGGCATAAAAAGGATGAGTTCATATCCTTTGCAGGGACATGGATAAAGCTGGAAATCATCAATCTCAACAAACTGACACAAGAATAGAAAACCAAACACTGCATGTTCTCACTTATAAGTGGGTGTTGAGCAATGAGAACACATGGACACTCAGAGGGGAACATCACACAACAGGGCCTGTTGGGGCACAGGAGAGCTAGGCGAGGAATAGCAGGGGGTGGGGGGATTGGGGAGGGATAACATTAGGAGAAATACCTAATGTAGATGATGGGGGGTTTGATGCAGCAAACCACCATAGCGTGTGTATCCCTGTGTAACAATCCTGCATGATCTGCACATGTACCCCAGAACTTAAAGTATAAAGTAAAAAAAGAAAGAAGTGAGACTGGGTAATTTGTAAAGAAAAGAAGTTTAACTGGCTCATGGTTCTGCAGGCTATACAAGAAGCATAGCACTTCTGCTTCTGGGGAGGCCTCAGGAAACAATCGTGGCAAAGACAAAGGGAAAGTGAGCATGTCTTACAGGGTTGGAGCAAGAGAGAGTGTGGGGAGGTGTTCTTATGTCTCATGTTTGCACGCATGTGTTTATACTAGAGAGCAGCGGTGACCTAGAATTCATTCCATTGTCTAGTTGTCTGGCTCTTCAGTCAGTAGCTTAGGCTGAAGCCAGCGTTGCCTGTAATTCCATCACAACTCTGAGCATTTATTTTTGAAAGAAGAAAAAAGTGTAGGAGGGGAAACTTAGAATTGACTCAACCTCTATTGAACTATAAGAACATTAAATTTAATAGTGTTTTCTTTTTCTTTCAGTTTTTATTGAAGAAGTAAGATTGTCCCTAGCAGATGGAGACACAGGTATGGGAAATAACATTTGTTCCATATAATTATTATGAGCTTCCACCTTTCTTAGCATAGACAGTTTCCCAAATGCAGCATCAAGTTATCCCTTTATAAGCATGATAAGGATAATAGTCAATGTATATGTAATGCCCTATATGTGCCGAGCACTACTAACACATACATACACATGCACATCACATACACACACATACCACAGGCACACACGTATTTAAACTAATTTAGTTCTCACAACGACATTTTGAGGCAGGTTTTATTATTGTACAGATGAGAAAACAAAGGTACACTTTATCTATAAATCTCTGCTATGCAGAAATTCTGGAGGGGCTTCTGGCCCCTTAATTTTAAATAAGACCAATAATACAATACTTAACACATAGCAATTCTCTAAAGATTAAATAAGATATATATAAAGCACTTAGCGCAGGGCCTGTATGGATGTGACGAAATTTGTCTTTTGAGATGGTCCACTCAGTCACCTCATTCTTAATCCCTTTCTCAACTTCTATTTTAAACAGAATTTGTGAGCATGGCATCATCAACTAACCCTCATATGGAAATGAAAACTCCAGGATTTCTCTCGCCCACAGAGAATTACCTCTCATCATCGACAGCCGGTTTGTTTTTATTTTTAAATAGTGGCTCTGAAATCATTGTTGTGATGCAACCCTACTTTAAGGGACCTGTCACAGCAAGGAAACTGACAAACACTGAGAAATGGGAGCTAAGTAGACACAGCCTCTGCTATGGAGGAATCCTTGCCTCTGGAATATCTCACAGGAATAATACTGTGAGTTAAAGAAATTCAAACAATGTAGCAAAGCACAGAAATGATGTATGTGACCATGAAATAGTGGGCCAGATAAAGGGGATCTAATAGTGCAGTGACACGGAGGGTCTGTGGGCAAACCAAGTTCAGCTCAGACCTGGGCTCAGCTCCATCCCAGCTGCTGACTCAGGGTGAGTTGTGCTGCAAGGTTTCTATATCCCCTTAATTTTAAGATGGGGACAATAACACAGTACTTATCTAACAGCGTTTCACTAAAGGTAAAACAAGATATATTTAAAAGTGCTTAGCTCAGAGCCTCACACATTCTTGGTGACTGATAAGCAAAGCTGGGTGCAGAGGTAAGAGTAGTCAGGGAGTGGTCTCTTTTGTTAGTTTTCAGGGGAGAAGAAGAAATTCTGGAGCTGCTGCTGGGAGGGATGTGGGAGAATTTGTCTTTCATGATACGTTTTATGTTCATTCGGTCAACTCATTCTTGATCCTTTTCCCAACTTCTCTTTTATGAAGACAAGCACAAACAGAGCATGTACCCAATCACTGCCGGTGCTGACAGAGTTTCAGAATCTTCCGGTAGAAACCACTTACGTCCAGAACAGAAAAACAGTATGTTCTTAGTTTTAAATAGTTGCTCTGGAGTCCCTTGTGATTGAACTCTATGTCAGCTGTAACTCATGAAAGTTCTCAAATTTTCATGACTGAAAACCCATGTGTTTTACTTCAAAGCCCATCTACCAACCATAACTATCACCTTGACAAAGAAAGAGAAGGCAAGCCCCAATTAACCTTTATACAAAAAGCCTAAAGAATGAAAAACCATACCTTAATCCTGGATTATGTGATACTACGTGGTATACTATGTAATTTGTAACAACTAAATTCCAGAAAATTGTGTGGATTTGGTAGTAAGAGGGCTTCATGACATAAAATGTCAAGTGGAGATAGAGAAAAAAGCAAGATGTGGACTGACAGGGAAGGTTAGCACAGATGGAGCAGTAAGGCAATCATACCATAAATTGCTACTGACATAGGATCGAGAGAGACTACTGGCAAAAGCTCAAATGAGACACAGTAAGAGTTTAGATTCAGACAGTGGCTATGGTATAAATTTGGAAAATTGATAGCCACATGAGCCCTCTTTGCATGAGACTGGCGTCTATGTGGAGTGATGGCTCCCTATGCCTCCTTTCTTCTCATCATTTTTACATTTTTAAAAATGCATTGCTTCTTTCAGAAGTCAAGAAGTGATTCTTCCAATACTTTCTCATCCCTTTCCCCTTAGTTATGAGACAATTTGCTAATTTCTCATCCATGAATACTTGCTGGGTAGTTAAAAGTAGATAAATTTTACTAGTTAGATGTTGAAAGTTGACCAATAACTCTCAAAATCTGATTAAGAAAAGGAAACCTACAAAACAGTTTAATTCCAAAATGATTTTTTTGCACATGCCTCATTTATTTGAAATTTTGCTTTATAGGACAAAGGCAACAACTTGTACATGATTTCTCTGAACCAGGTATGTTAATATTTGACAAAGAATAACAGTCATTCCATTTAAAACTATGTATTGCTTGTTTCAAATACCTAAGAAAATATGTCAAGGTTAAAATAGAAGAGCTGGCGCATGCCTGTAATCCCAGTACTTTGGGAGGCTGAGGTGGGAGTTTGCAGTGGGCCGAGATTGCGCCACTGCACTCCAGCCTGCTGACAGAGTGAGACTCCATCTCAAAACAAAAACAAAAACAAAAAAGAGCATATGTTGTTAACTTTATTCACCGAAAATTGTAAAGGAAAAAAAATATTCTCTTTTTAAAATTAAAATAGGCATTTCTTATTTTTAAAAACATTTTGGGGGCCAGGGGCACTGGCTGTAGTCCCAGAACTTTAGGAGACAGAGCCTGGTTAATTGCTTGAACCCAGGAGTTTGAGAACAGCGTGGGCAATATGGCAAAATCCATCTCTACCAAAAATATAAAAATTAGCTGGGATGGGCATGTGCCTGTAGTCCCAGTTACTTGGGAGGCTGGCTGAGGTAGGGGGATCGATTGCCTGAGCCTGGGAGTTGGAGGCTCCAGCGAGCTATGATTGTGCCACTGTACTCTATCTAGCCTTGGTGACTGAGTAAGACCTTGTCTCAAAAACAAATAAATAGGTAAATGAAAAATAAATAAAAACATTTTGGAAATAGTAATACATAATCTGATAGTAGTTTTCCTAGTAGGTTAGATGTTTTGCCTTTCTAACCAACCCTGAGTATTTGAGAAAGGCCTCATAAAAGCTTATAAAACAAATGAATTTCCCTCTTCCCTCCTATAAAGAGTAAGGCATTTAAAATCATCTAATTAACTGGCACTGTATTTAAAGGATAAATCTCAGCCTTGATTCATTTTTGGCCAATGCGACCACTTAGGGGTCATCTTGACCACCTTTGCTGAAAGGACATTTCTCCCCCCTCACTTGGTATCATTGTGTGTGCTCATTTGCTATTACCATTAGAATGCTGAATAGCAAATGAGCACACACAATGATACCCTCCCTTCACACTCAGCTGTGTCCATAGCTTACAGGGTAAAAAGCACATCATAGAAATTCCTCACTATCACATGCATTTAAGCTAAGTGGTCAAGAAGGCTGGGAAACACCAGCAAGAGGAAATGCTACTTTTACTTTTTATCAGTAATGGGGCTTTTAAATATGAATTAGCCAAATAAATGAGCCATTTTACCTTTGTCTAAACTTCCATTCTATTTACTTCATCTGGAACAATACAAATATGGTATAAATATTTTTAGTGACTATATCAGAGACTACGCATAAGAATACTGTGGAAGTAATGCAAGCTTAGAATATAGATGACCTGCATTATAGTTATAATTCTACTTTTAACTAGTTGTCTGACCAAGGCTAAGTTAACCTTATTAGGCTTCTTTTCTTTATTTGTAAAGTGTTTATAGCAATTTCTTTACAAAATTAGGATTCTATGATTTGTTCAATGTCTTCATAACATCCAAACTATGAAAGAATTTGTGAGCCAGGCACAGTGGCTCACACCTGTAATCCCAGCACTTTGGGAGGCTAAGGAGGGTGGATCGCCTGAGGTCAGGAATTCGAGACCAGCCTGGCCAATGAAGTGAAATCCCATCTCTACTAAAAACACAAAAAATTAGCTGGGCATGGTAGCCGGCGCCTGTAATCCCAGCTACTAGGGAGGCTGAGGCAGGAGACAAGAGGTAGAGGTTGCAGTGAGCCGAGATCGCTCATCACTCTTGTCCACCACACTCAGCCTGGGCAACAAGAGCGAAACGCCATCTCAAAAAAAAATGAAAGAAAGAAGAGAGAGAGAGAGATAGAGAAAGAAAAAGAGAAAGAAAAAGAAAGAAAGAAAGAAGAAAGAAAGAAAGAAGAAAAAGAAAGAAAGAAAGAAAGAAAGAAAGAAAGAAAGAAAGAAAGAAAGAAAGAAAGAAAGAAAGAAAGAAAGAAAAAGAAAAAAAGAAAGAAAGAAAAAATTTGTGGGGTTTTTTTTTCCCTGAGTAGAATGTCCACTGAGTTCTAATCTGTTACACCAGAGAAGAACACTGGGTCTGGAATCAGAACCCTCAGGCCTTAGTTCTGTCATCAACTAGTTGTGCAACCTGGGACAAAAGATTTATCATTCACAGTCCCAGTTTCCCAGGTTACTGTAAAGCACACAATTTTTAAAAAGATAATGATTAATAATGGGCATTGGATTTCTCTTAGGAGGAATAAAAATCAGGTAGTGATACTGGTTTCATATCCTGTGAATATACTAAATAATAACTATACACCTTAAATATGTGAACTACATGATATGTGAAACATATTTCAATAAAGACTTTTAAAAAAAAAAGATAAAGTATACATAATAGTATATTAATGTACTCTCAATTAAAAGACAAGGTGATGTTACCCTGATTTTATCTGTCTTATTTTTTGATTGCTATATGGTCATTTATTTTAGACTCTCATAATTTTGCTACTCTCTTCATCTCCTGTAGTGATAACACTCATTATTTTTGGGGTGATGGCTGTTGTCATTGGAAAGATCCTCTTTATTTCTTACTGTATTCGCCGACTGAGAAAGGTGAGAATTCAGTTTTTAATTTTGCTCTAAGTACCAATGTGACTAGTTCTAGGAGAATTTATTTCTCTGAGTTCAATTAAACTAAAAAAGAGAAACAGAATTGCATTAAACTCCATCATTTTCAACTGGACACATAGAAGTCACTGTGTTACTCTAGCAGAATTTTGTCTTTTGCATTTGCCCAGTTAAAGGGAACCTCTAAATATAACTCTATCCCCCATTTTCCCAATGAAAGATCTCTCCCTAGTTTTCCATCTAACTTGCTTTTATATATTTTAATGGATATTGAGGAAATACTAAGACTCTACTTATAGTATTTACTCTATTTGTGTATTAATTATTTAAAAGAATATATTTACATATGTTTAAAACTTTGAGGGAGGCCAAGGTAAGAGGATTGCATGAACCCAGGAGTTTGAGACCAGCCTGGGAAACAAGGTGAAACCCAATCTATACCAAAAAAATGAAAATTAGAGAGGTGCAGTGGTGCACATCTGTGGTATCAGCTACTCAGGAGGCTGAAATGGGAGGATTACTTGAGCCCGGGAAATCAAGGCTGCAGTGAGCTGTGATCATGCCACTGCACTCCAGCCTGGGCAACAAAATGAGACCCTGTCTCAATAAATGCATAAATAAATAAAAATAAATAAACAAAATAAAACTTTTGCTTTTTCTTATTCTCACATATTCTGAAACAAATTTTCAAATTTCCACCCATGAATTCTTAACATTAGTGATTTTTTTGAATCACTAGCGATTTTAAAAAATATATATCTGTATATACAGATATATATATATATAGATATATATATTTTTTTGAGACAGAATTTTTCTGTCACCCAGGCTCAAGTGCAATGGCACAATCTCTGCTCACTACAGCCTCCACCTCCCAGGTTTAAATGATTCTCATGCTTCAGCCTCCATACTAGCTGAGACTACAGGTGTGGGCCACAATGCCTGGCTAATTTTTATATTTTTTTAATGTAGAGATGGGGTTTCACTGTGTTGACCAGGCTGGTCTTGAACTCCTGGCCTCAAGTGATCCACCTGCCGTGGCCTCCAAAGTGCTGGGATTACAGGCACAAGCCACCACACCCAGCCCACTAATGCTATTTTTAAATCCATACAACACAGCTCATTGAAGTGTATAACTTTTGCTATCACTTTCTATTCATGACATTTAAGACAATGTGTGTGTGTGTGTGTGTGTGTCTGTGTGTGTGTCTGTGTGTGTTTATGATGCTGTCGCTGTCCCTGTAATCTTAGATCAGAAGTACTGAGTCACAGGAGATTGATACAGTTATATTTTTATTCATCCTCTGTGGTTAATCTCTCTGTGATTTTTGAGACCATAACCACTATGTAATTCTTTTAAAAGGGATGACTGAGAGGGGTAACAACACTGCAATTGTGGGACCATCAGGAGGAGAATGATAGCAAATCTACATAAAGTTCCTTTGCCCCTTTTCTTTTTTAACTGCTTCTAACAGTTAACTTCTACAACCATCCAATCCTATGATTGATTTTCATTATTCCATATAAATATAGCTTCCTTAAATAATACTTTTTGTTAATCAAAGAAAGGGAACTGGGAATGACTACTCTTGTATGAGAGATTTGGTAAGGACTTTAGTGTAAGATAACTTCTCTTGCCTGGAGTATAAAAGAGAAAAATCATCTTCTTACATGGGCCTACATGGCAAAGTGGGTTGTTTTCTCTCTTGGTCAATGTTCCAAACCCTGAAAAAGTCAAGGAAATATTTAGTTGGCAAAGTTTGGATAATTTTCTAAATGTTTATGGATGACTTTGGTTCTGGTCAACATGATCCAGAGATCACACACTTTATTTTTATTTTCACTTCCACTATTTATTACAGCAGGGAAACAGGTAAGTGTCAGTGTTTGTGGTAATATTTTCCCTACTGAAATACCAAATACCATAGAGGAACACATATACAAATTTAAATCAATGCTTATAAATACCCATTAAATAGCAACTAGTAACAACAACCACAAAATCTCTGCAAAGGGGACTTCGATCAAAAGAAAAAAATTACAAAAATTTTTAAGCTGAGGCATTTTACTTTTTACTGTCTTAAGGTTAAAAAATTGTGGCGTTAATATTTTTCTGGTATTTCTTCATAGAAAAGCTCATTTGATGTACAAACTCCCTCCTCACCTGACACAGATGTGCCTTTAAGCTCTGTTGAAATAGAAAATCCAGGTTGGTATTAATGTTTGCACCTTTTGCCTTTTAGGAAAGAAAACTAACTAGAGTTATTTCTTTCTGATTTGAGGGAGGGGAAAACCAGCTATGATTCATTTCTATTCTATTTCATTAATTCTACCTCTTTGATGTTTTAGAATTGTAAGAGTTTGTCTGCAGCATAGTGAGATTCTCCTTTAGACACAAAGTGTTTTGTTTAAAAAAAAAAAAAAAAACTAAATGAATTAGTATAAGGGAAAGAGAAAACCAAATGTACTTCTTATGTCCAAAACTGCAGAGTTACGTGTATAGGAGACTATGGTTAGTATGTGTAATAGCCTCAGATCTAAAATCAGATTTGGATTTGAATCCATGCTCCAACACTTATTAACTGTGAAACCTTCAGCAAGCTACCAACCTCACTTAATAAAGAGATAGTGATAGTGTCAACCTCACAGAGTTTAATTTTAATGAGAATTAAATGAGCTACAACTGGTACAGCATTTAAAACTGTTCTTGGTCATCATAAGTCCTCACACCTGTTAGCTGTTATCAATATAGCAAGCCATCTAGCACATGCTTTCATCTCCACTCCCAGGTGCCAATTAGGTACAAAACATGTGAAAGGCCGTGGATACATTTTGTTTATCCAGAACAGTATTACCATATAGTGCTTTTTGAAAAGAACATTCATTGTCAACCTTTAAAATTAGGAAGTTTTTACATTAAAAAAAAAATCAGATGTTAGTATTCCTTTGGGGAAAAACGTAAACTCCCAAAATGCTGCGAGCCTTCATATCAGCATGAGACCAATTCCTAAGAGCTGAGTAGTGGTCGCTGCCTCTACTGTTGGTTTAAATAACTAGCCAATTACATTTGTTTTATTCACTATGGCCCCTGGTATGAACTAAGAAAGTATATTATTCCTATTGATCTTTGTCTAAAGCGTAAACCCAAATGACATCTATTTTGGGAGATAGCCACCAGGAACAAGTCTCTGGAATGAGCTTTTATTCCTTAAGTAAAGGAGATTTTATTTTGCCTTCTACAAAATCAATTAATTTCTCTCCCATAATTTTCTGATAGATCAGAGGTTAGGTACGTTTCTGGATTTTAATTTTAACCCTGGACCAGTCTAAGTTTTCTAGACTTTGGAGTCATAGAACAGAGAGAGTTTTAAAGATCCATCACAGCTACACAGGTTATATGCAGGATTTGCTACTTCACACTATCATGTGAATTCTTAAAGCTTAACAATGACTGTTACACGAGGTTTTAATCCTAAGAAGTTTCTGCTGTGTGAAAATGAATAGCATAGATATGATTCTCAGCTAAAAGGATTAATAAAATCCAATCCGCAGATACTTGAAACAACAAAAGTTTTGAGTCATATACCAGATTCACTTCATTTACTAAGGTTATCTTGTTATTGGACTGGCAGCTGGAACAAGTATCTGCAAAATATTCATTTTATTTGCATTCTGCCTTGCTCCAAAAAAAAAAAAAGTCTTGGTGCAGTTTTTTAAATAGAACAATTACAACTGAAAATCTATCTTTTAAACTTAAATTTCTATACATTTTTAGCCACTTATTTATTCTAGTAACAAATTTAGTGTTTAGTGTGGCCCTTGCCATTTTTTTTTTCATACAATCTTGGGCATCTCAAATCTTTGGGCCAATTTAATACACCACAGTGCATTAAGATGTCCTTGTAGTTTAATTCAGTTAAGTGCAACAAACATTTGCTAAATGCATACCGTGGGGTAGGCACCACACTCACATTAGATATACCAATATGAGTCTTCATCCTTTAGAAGCTGAGAGACTAACGAAAAAAACAGAATGTCATTCCAGTGAACACATTGTACAGTAGTGGCAGCAATAGCTCCACTTGTCCCAGAGCCTGGGACAGGTATCAAAGGCTTCTGGAGATGAAATCACCTGAGATTAGTCTTAAAAGATGGGTGTGAAAGTACCCTTCTTTCACACGTACTTTCACACCTCAGAATCAGAGAGGAATATGGCCATAAGCTTTTGTGCAGACTCCTTTAGGAGGGGCGGGAAAGAAGTCATTCTTAAAAAACACATGACAGACTTAGAAACATGCCTTAAATATTATCATGCGTATGTCATTCAACTTATCATTTACTAGCTTCACATTATATTTTACCTCTATACAAGTTTGGCTGCTAGTTTCTTATCTCTGTGGAAACTAGGAACAGAGCAATTATATTTATTCTTTACCTAAGGCTTTTAGAATAGATATAATAGATATTCTAAGAAATTCTGTATTTTTTTTTTGCACAAAACTTCAATAGAGCTAATCAGTAAGGAGATTCCTTTTGTTTCCTACTAATTATGTTCAAGGACAACTCTGTAAGAATGTAGAATTCTAAAATTTATGCTGTGCATTAATTTCCTGTCATGTTTAACATAACTATGTCTCATATTTTGGTCTTGTATTTTTTATACTATAATCCTTCTAGAGAAAGTTGATCAATGAGAATCTGTTCACCAAACCAAGTGTGGAAAGAACACAAGAAGACATAAGACTTCAGTCAAGTGAAAAATTAACATGTGAATTGGACTCTCCAATAAATTATATACCTACCTAAATTGTACAATTTCAGAATGCAATTTTCATTATAATGAGTTCCAGTGACTCAGTGATGGAAAAAAATACTCTGCTCATTAACATTTCAAGATAAAGAACAATGTTTCCTTGCATCTTTGCTTTTGTATGTTAGCATAATTTTTAGAATTGATTGAGAATTCTGATCCAAAACTTTAGTTGAATTCATTTACATTTGTTTAATACTAACTTAATCTATTCTATTGTATTGTAATAATGGTGCTGTCAAATGAAAGGCTTGAAATACCTGAATGAAGTTTAGGTTTTCTTCCTATTGTAAACTTTTGAGTCTAGTTTCATTGTTTTAAATAAATTAAGGGGACACTAAAGTCCTATCATTTATTTCCTTCATTGCTGAACAGGCAAGATATAATATTACATGGATGATGATGATGATGATGATGATGATATACTATTACATGAATGATAATGATGATGATGATGATGATGATGATGATATACTATTACATGAATGATAATGATGATGATGATGATGATGATGATATACTATTACATGAATGATAATGATATTTTGTTCACACTAATAAAGCTTAATAAAATTTAAAAGAAATTTCTAGATATAGAGACTAAGGTCTGTGACTACACAGCTGTCACTCATTTATAGTGAAACTTAAAAAAGAAAAAAACCTTCCTGTGATACTTTATTTCCAAACTAATAAAAATCTATATAACTTTTCATTGTTGTGTGATAATAAAGTAAATTTTTTGTATATTTTCAGGCCTGGCAGCTGAAATTTATTTTTTAATAAATTAAAAAATCAAATTTTAGCCAATCTTCAGAGAGTGTTTTTGTACTAAATTGACTACTTAAAATAAAAAATGAGACTAAGAAGAGAACAATTCTTGATACGTGCTTTTTAAAAGTAATTTTAAGAAGATTATTAGGTTAATTTAATCCAATTAATGACCCAAATGCCAAGGTAATTTTAAATTTACATTTTTAATAAAAACGTGTTGAAACAAGAGAACATGAGATTAACCTTTTCGCTAAAGTAATTTACAAGTCAAAGACAAGAAAAAATCAGAGTGAATGTGCCATCTTAACCAGAGCTACAGAATTTAGTGAATAATTAAAGTACAAATTACTTTAACCTCAGTGAACTTTTCCAAGCAATTTCTCTGTACTTCTGTATATGAATGTCTTAGTTCGTTTTCTGCTACTATAACAGAATACTACAGACTGGGTAATTTACAAAGAAAAGAAATTTATTTTCTTCCTAGTTTTAGAGGCTGGGAAGGCCAAGGGCATGGCACTGACATCTGCCTTGTATCTCATAAGGACCTTCTTACTGCATGATAACAAAGCAGAAAGGCAAGCAAAAGTTTAAGATGAAGAGAGAGGAAATGAAGCCAAACACATCCTTTTATCAGAAGCCCACTCCTTCTATAAGGCATTAGTCCATTTGTGAGAATGGAGCCCTCATGACCTAATCATGACTTTAAAGGCCCTTCCCAACACTCTTACAATGACAATTAAATTTCAACAAAGTTTCCAGAGGTGACATTCAAATTATAGCAATGAACTTTTCATAGTTAAATTTGGTATTTGTCAGGGAAGAAATTACCATTTCCGTTTTATGAAATCTTTCCTGTGAAGATACCATGACTCCGTGGATGGCTCATGTTGGATTTCTTGAAATTGGGGCTGGGATGGGAGGGTTTGGTGATTCTGATTATGGAATTTTACTCTTCAGCCCTGAGTGTTTGCTTGTGTAGTTGTGAGCAAAAGGTCTAAATGGCAGAGAATATAAATGCAGAAAACTGAAAGACATGGTGAAGAAAGAATGACTCTTTTTTGCAACAAAAACTTAACTCTGAAAGCAACTCTGAATGGAGGGCCAAACAATGACATGGGGAAAGGGGTATTTTGGTGATATTGATATACAGTGATTGAATAATAGCCCTCTGGTTTATTCTAAACATTTATCCTATCAAATGCAGTAAATTTCTCAGAAGAAACTCCTAAAAGCCAAATGTTATCTAAATAAAATTTTAGATTTATTTAAATCTAAATTTAGATTTAAAATGCATAGGCCTTTCAACCAGTTCTAATGCATTTATGCCCTAGGCAGTATTTAGGGGGCATGTGCACTGCCAACTGCTAACCCACTTTTGGTATCTAGATCTAAGCATGCCCTCTGAATCCTCACAGCACTTATACATATTTTGTAACATTGCTATGATCTGAATTCCACACCCTACTTAAATACGATTCATTAAGAGGAAGAAGTTTAATGCACTTTTGTAACTCCTAAGAGGCTTAACAAAATTTGCTTCTTATTTCATGAAGCCAATATTAATATTTAAAATGGCATGATAGACAGTGACATCTTGAAGGTTTGGTCTGGGGTAGTGGGAAAAGAGAACCAGGTTTGGAGCCAGGGTTTGAACATAACTTTTGTTTCTTTATCTAAAATCATCTGAAATATGATGATGAGAATAACTGCCTTGCAGAAATGTCACAAGATTTATATATTTGTGTATGCTTATGTATTTATACAAAAAAATGAAAAACATGAAGAAACTATTAATATCAGTTCAAAGGGGAAAAAATGACTACATCTCTCATGTAATGAGAGATAAACCTCATGTCAGTCACGTGCAACTTTTGCAATTCTCTCCCATATGATCCTAAATCTGAATAGTGTCTGGTTTATTATTTACATGTTGACATAATGTTTAGAGTGATATTCTCCACAACAGTTTCCCTCAGACTAAAGCCCCTGGACTTTTTTTAAATTTTGCATAGAAACTAAACCAAGATTAACACATAAGGAGGAAGAGTACAAATGCTTTTTGATGGAAAGAGGAATATTACAGCAAAAGATGACTCACACATGATTATATACGCCATCTGCTTTTGTATGGGCAAATAAGCAGCTTTTTAGAACTAGCCCTAATTTATCTTTAAAGAATGTAAACATGTTGTACTGAATTTGTATATAGCTGTGAAGCTTAGTATTAAGCCATAATTAATGAGAGGAGAAAAATAAAAGGATAAGCACAGTTAGGTTTTAGTAGTTTACCTAAAAGGTACTATATTACTTGCCTGCAAAAGACACAACAGGTAGGTTTTGAAAATAGAAAGTAAATCCAGTGAGGTCCGTTGGCTCATGCCTGTAATCCCAGCAGTCTGGGAAGCTGAGGTGGGTGGATCTCCTGAGGTCAGGAGTTCAAGACCAGCCTGGCCAACATAGTAAAACCTGTTTCTACTAAAAATACAAAAATTAGCTGGTCATGGTGGTACAGGCCTGAAATCCTAGCTATTCAGGAGGCTGAGGCAGCAGAATCACTTGAACCTGGGAGGCAGAGGTGGCTATGAGCCAAGATCACACCACTGCACCCCAGCCTGTGTGCCAGAGCAAAACTCCAACTCAAAAAAAGAAAAAAGAAAATAAATCCAATTACGGAGAAAATACAGTCATAGTTTTGTATCCTGAGTTATGATTATTCATTTTTAAAAATATCTGAACATATAGTCATCACATGAAGGACAGCTGGAGAAGAGAGGGAGAGGAATGGAAGGAAACTGGAAAAGTGAGCTAGGTCTAAAGAGCTGTGCCTTCAGCTGTGCCTAAGCAAACATGACCTCTTCTCAGTTATGGGAGCCAATAAGTCCCTTCTTTGCTCAAGCCAGTTTTTGAAATTAGGCTTTTTGTCATTTATGATAGAAAGAGTCTTAGCTAAAGTAACAGAAAATTAAAATAGCTGATTGGGCTGACACCTTGTATCCAATAAAAACTGCATTCCAGGTTGACATATTTTGTACAATACAGAATTTACAAAGGAAATGCCTAAAAATTCTACAACTCTCACCAACTGCAAAGGTATAAAAGTGTAAGGAGCTGGTGACTGGACAAAAGGGAGTGTAGAGAAGAGAGCTGTTTGTCTGTCTTCAAGACCTCTCCTAAGAAGGAGAGGTGAGGAGGTTTTCCTCTCTTCATTTTGTCAAGAGCTCTAGAAGGTCTTGGGAGAACTTAAATGTGTCCTTGGAATGTTAGAGAATTCTGACTCTCACTTGAGAAACCCAAAGGGCAAAATAACGGTCCTAACCCTGCCCTGAAAGTATATTAAGAAGAGACTGGAAAGCTGGGGATGACACGCATTCCTAGAGTTTTAAGAGGCAATGGGAAAGTGAGTTTCTTGTGGGCTCTATACACACCACTGGAAAAATAAATTGTTCCTGTGGGTTATCTTTGGTCATATTGGAAATAATTTCCTAGAAAGGTCAATAGCTTTTAAGAGAAAGAAAGTCGAAGTGTTGCCAGACATCTAATGCTTTGTTTACCTATGAAGGACAGAAGAAGGATGTAGGCAAACAACCGAAACAGACATGGATGGGAAAATTCTGAAGAACCCACAAGAGCACCTATAAGAGAAAGGTTCAAATGTAAATCTCTGCCAAGAGAAAATGTGGGATCACTGTGAAATATTGGTCTAGTCAGAACTTTCCTACCCCTTTACCTAGTATTTTCCTTCCCATATTCCAATGCCAGAGGGTTTGAAAACTTTGAGTAGCAAGATGGAAGAAAAGGAATAAAGGCTCCAGTTTTGGGGGGGGAGGAGAAGTTGACCACATCATTCCTTTCCTGAATCCAGGGAAAAGAAGGAATAAAAACATTAATTTTAAATCAGAATGGAAATGTTGATTATTGCGTTGGAATAGATATTTTAACTACAAACTGGGGAGCCATTTGTATTAACTAATGGTGACCAGAAGAGTGATGGGGTATTTGGGCAGAGGAACAGTGCAAGGACAGACCAGTTCTACAGAAGACAGTTCAAAGGACACAGGAGATATGACTCAAATTAGTCCTAATTGAATTCTCTGAGTCTTGTTTACTTAATACAACCATTGTACACATAAAAGTATTAATGTAGCAAAAGCATTTGTTAATGACATAGATAAGGCATAATGGGAAAAAAGACATACATTATTAGTAACTGTAAATTGACTTAAAGGCAATAGAACAAAGTATTCCAAAATTCACAAATTTGTCTATGTATTGTTGGCCCAGTATTTCTATTTTGAAGAATGTGCTCCAGTAAAATTACAAAAAAAAGTAAATGATTATTTTTTAATTGACTTTACATATTCATAGCATCAACAAATAGCAAAAATAACCCAAATGTTTACTAACTTAGTAATGTCTATGTCATAATTTACATATTAGCATATTAACCAAATAGACTATTATGTAGCCAATTTAAAAGTACATGTAGACTTTGTTTACAAGTGAAAATGTGTGTATAAATGAATTTTTAATAAAAAATAGAAAACATAGTATAGTTATTCTGAACTAAAATATATGTATAGTGCATAAATTTTAAAGCTCAGAAAAAAACTTCAACACTCAGTAGTTTCTTTCTACTTGTTTTTGTTCTAAAATTAGTGCTAGTGACTTACAATGTAGTACTAACATTTCTGGTTCCTGCCGAATATTTCTAAGCTAGAGCTCTACTTCAAAACTGAAGACCAGAGACATCTCGATATTGCCCTATGTCCATATCTCATGAAACACGTTTTGGGGGGTGTGCTTAAAATGTGCTGTGACTCTGCAAAAATAAGCCTTGAAAGCTGAAGGATAAATGTTTCAAAACGAAGGAAAGCCAGAAATATCTCTGTTTCCAAACTCAACAATAAGATAACTTAGTCCATATACCTTGGGAAAAATGTGATCCCACTTTTTGAATGTGAAGTGTTTCTAAAACTTTTTTTATATTAAAATATATTAGAAAGACAAATATCACATATTCTCACTTATATG